AGTTAGTCACAGTCAGAGAAACAGGACTACACTGGAAAACAGGCCAAGCTCCAACATCTAGAAACAAAGGTGTTGATGGCAGCAGCACAGCTGCTGGTCTGAAGGCTAACCAGACCATTCCTATATCTCATGAACAGCCTCTATATCTGTAGAGTGAAAAACCTTTTGGTGCCTCGGATAGTTCAGCTCGGACTCTGACCTTCCACCAAAGCTCATATACGGCTCCTTTCTTTTTTCTCTAAGCCAAAGGGACTCTGAGAGAGGACACACTGAGGGTCTTCCTCCAGCAGATGGCCGCCGCCATGCGCATTCTCCACAGCAAAGGAATCATCCACCGCGACCTGAAGCCCCAGAACATCCTGCTGTCATACATGGGCCGCAGGAAGTCCAACATCAGCGGCATCCGCATCAAAATCGGTAAAAGAAGAAATCAGCTGTTTTCTTTTTGTGGTCAGATGTTAGATGTCTAAATGAAAACACAACCTTTGTATTCTTCTGAGAAGATCCATGTGAGGGTTTGTGGAATGACGGGTTTCTCATGACGCCTGTAGTCACTGTTTTGTTCTGCTTCTCTGTCCTACAGCTGACTTTGGGTTTGCTCGGTACCTCCAGAACAACATGATGGCCGCCACACTCTGTGGCTCGCCCATGTACATGGTCAGTGTTTATATTATTGGTTACCAAACATTCAGGCTTCCTTGGTCAGCAGATTGCTCCAGAAACCTCCCTGATCCGGTTCTTCGTTCTGTTTCAGGCCCCAGAGGTCATCATGTCCCAGAACTATGACGCCAAGGCTGACCTGTGGAGCATCGGGACGGTTATCTACCAGTGTCTGGTTGGGAAGCCTCCGTTCCAGGTCTGTACGGAGCACAAGGAGCTCCTAACCTGATAAGTAGCTGCAGGGAAGCGTGTGTCATCGGTTCTGTTTATCTCCCGTCTTCAGGCCAACAGTCCGCAGGATCTGAGGATGTTTTATGAGAAGAACAAGAACCTCCAGCCTGTGTAAGTCCCGTCCTTTGCAGTGTCCTCTCCCCTCTATGATGTCATCATCTGCTGTCTGTTGGTTCTGGGTCAGTTTGTTCCTCTATCCACCTCATTATGCTATAAAACATGAAATTACATCCAGGCTGTTCAGAACGGTTATCAAATGCCTCTTCTACCAGTTTTGGGTCCGTTTCTTTCCTCTGGTTCCCAGCAGTAAAATTAGCTCTGACTTGAAAAGGGTCATAGATGCAAAACCTAGATTCCTTTGTAGATGAATAATGATAGTT